CCAATAGGATATGGCAAAGTTGATGGATGTCACAAATGTCAAGCCTATGGCTATGATACACGTTTGTGTGTGTGTATGTGTGTATTTATTATGCTAGAAAGCTCTAGGGAGTTCCGCTTTGCTAGCTTGATGGAGTAAGTAGCTGTGTTGAGGAAGCTGGTGGCCAGGGTCAGTGGGTAGACTCTAGAAGCTATAATTGTTCCCTAAGACCAATAGGTGGTCTCTAAACCTGAAGGCATCCTCCAACCAACAGACAGCTAAAAGGTGGGGCCCTCAGTTATTCAGCCACAAGGAAATAAATTATGCCAATAATAAAATACTGCTGAAAGCAGATTTTCCCAAATTGAGCCCTAGGATGAGAACCCAAAGTGCCAGATGCCTTGATCACAGCCTAGTGAGACCCTAAGCAAAGGACACAAGTAGGCTGTTCCTGGACCTAGGATATTTGGAAAGTCTGAGAAAACAAATGTATGTTGTTTTTAGTAACTCAGATTATGAGAATTTTTTTATGAAACAATAGAAAACTAATCCTATATAATAAAGAGGTGATATGCAAATTAACCCTCACACCCTCACAAGATGGCTGCCAACCACCAGGCTGGCAGGGGGGTTAGTGAGGGACAACCAAACAACTGAACAAGCAGGCTGCAAGGGGTGACCAGGCCGGAGGGGAGGGGACTTGAGGGGTGACCAGGCTAGCAGGGGGGGGGGGCAGTTGGGGACAACCAGGCCAGCAGGGGGTGCAGTTGGGGGTGACCAGGCCAGCAGGGGGCGGGCAGTAAGAGGCAACCAGCCCAGTGGGTGGGGCAGTTATGGGTGACCAGGCTGGCTGGGGGGGGGGGGCAGTTGGGGGAGAACAGGCCATCAAGGGGGACAGTAAGGGGTGACTAGACCAACAAGGGGAGGGCAGTTAGGAGCAACCAGGCCAGCAGGGGGGGCAGTGAAGGATGATCAGGTTGGCTGGGGGGGCAGTTAGGGGCAACCAGGTAAGCAGGCAGGCGAGTGGTTAGGAGCCAGTGGTCCAGGATTGTGAGAGGGATGTCTGATTGCTGCTGTAGGCCCAATCCCAAGGGGTCCCAGATTGGAGAGGGTGCAGGCTGGGCTGAGGGGAGTATCTCCCCCATGCACGAATTTTGTGCACCAGGCCTCTAGTACCATATATAAAAACATGGCAAATGTGTTGTAATTTAATATTGAATCAGGCCATTTCATTTTGCAGTGTTTAAAGAATAGGGTTCAATTAAAATATGTCTTTAAAATTCCTTAATTGTATTTCTGAAGGGTGTGTTTTGCACATTCTGATGTTAATTTTCTTGGATAATTAACCAGTACATGAACAATTTGTATTATAACGCCGATATGTTCAAAAACTAAAAATCATAAATTGTAATTTGCTGCTTCTCTTACAAGAGAAGAGTGGGGTGAGGCAATAATGTACTAATGTTTTTGATAGAAGAATGAAAAAAGTATATATCTATCACCATGAAAAAGTATGTAAAGCCAGCATTATTTGTATAAAGTTCACAGAAACTGATCAAAAAGTGGCAAGCAGCCCTAACCGGGTTGATTCAGTGCATAGAGCATCAGCTTGTGGACTGAAGGGTCCCCAGTTCGATTCCGGTCAAAGGCATGTACCTTGGTTGTGGGCACATCCCCAGTTGGGGGTGTGCAGGAGGCAGCTGATCAATGTTTCTCTCTCATTGATGTTTCTAATTCTCTATCCTTCTCTCTTCCTCTCTGTAAAAAAATCAATAATATATATATATATATATATTTAAATGGCAAACAAATTAACCTGTCAGTTAATCATCTGTTTTAAAACAAAAAAGAAACTGATGGGAATTCCACTCTGGCAACATGGTAAATTTCTAAAACTCTCGATTAAAACCCAATCTATAAAATGCTAATATGCAAATAGACTGACCGGCGGAACCGAACAACCAATCGCTATGATGTATGCTGACCACTAGGGGGCGTGCACAAAACATGGTGGGCATTGGCAACATGTGACAGAGCGCTGAACATGGTGGATGTCGGCTGCAGAGGACGAAGGCAGGGCACCGGTTGCTGTCATCTGGGCGAGCCTCTGGTGGTTACTGAAAATTCTTTGCTCCCCCGCTCCCTGGTCTTGCTGGGCACTTGCTCCTGCTTCTGGTGCCAGCCCCACTCACACCCACTGCTGGCGCCAGAGCTGCCACTCTCACCTGCTGATGGGGACGCCCTGCTCATACCTGCTGCTGGCGCTGGCCCCAATCGCTCTGCACAGTCAGCAGGTGCGAGTGGGGCTGGCGCTGTCAGGGTGTGGGAGTGGCGGCAGGGGGAGTGGGGCTTCCAGCAGACAGGGAACTGGGGCCATGGTGGGAGGAGCCAGGTGGAGGTGTGGAGATGGGACGAGACCTGCCCCTGTGCCCATTGCAGGCTCGCAGCCTACAATTCCTTTCAAGGTGCACAAATTTGTGCACTGGGCCCCTAGTATTGTAGATGACACATGTCCTTAGAAAAATAAATCTTGAATATCACCAGTTTGCTTTGTGTTAAGCAGCGCAGGCAGAGAGTAACTATCAAATGCTTGATTCTACATCCAGAAAGGGACACTGGAAGCTAAAAGTGTCATCACTCTGCTTTTGAGTCAAGCAGGCTTCCAAGGCAATGGTTAGAGTCCTGATCCAGGAACTCCGCCCCCCCCCACCACCACCACCACCACCACTACCCAATACTGTTCTCCATTTTCAACCAGGAATGCATAAATGACCTTTGCAAACTTCAGGCTTCCCACATTTTGCTTCTTGTAATTTAATGAAAGCACACATAGACTCAGGTTCCTAGTGGGAAGTGTTCCATTTTGCACAATTTCACTCACCACAGGAAAGTAATAAAGGGGATATACTCTGGGACAGTTTTCTCAAGCCCGGTAGCACTTGTTTGATATTTCCATAAAGTGGGTCAAGAGGACACAAGGGTGGAGATGCCTATTTTTGCATCACACCACAGGGTTAGTTATCTTTACATTTACTATATCAACTTCTTTAAAAGTCCTGAAGTATTCAAACATGATAATGATGCTATTTCATAGTTAGTGAGTGCTACTGAGCACCTGCACTAAGTGATTGATTTCATGCAGTTTCTTATTTAGTCCTTACATAAGCCTGTGGAAGAGGTACTAAACTACACTCATGGCATGGAAAAGGAACTGGGAGCTCACAGAGGTTAATAATTCGTGAGTTGAAGTAGAAAAACTTCTATTTTTTTCAAACAGCTCTTCTTTTTTTTTTTTGGAGCAGTTTTAGGTTCAAGCAAAATTGAGCACAGGGTACAGAGATTTCCTATATGCTCCCTCTCCCCACTCATTCATACCTCCCGCATTATAAACATTCCTACTGGAGTGGTACATTTGTTACAATGGATGACCTACACTGACACATCATCGTCGCCCAAACCCCACAGTTAACATTGGAGTTCACTCTTGACGTTGTACATTCTATGGAGTTGAAAAAATTCAGGATGACATGTATTCACAAAATTGTATCATTCAGAGTAAGTTTATGTCTATTTAAACCAAAGTCCAAGGAGTGAGAGGGGAGAGAGAGAGAGAGAGATTGGTTCCTCCAGGTGCATGCCCCTTGACTGGGAATCGAACCCATGGCCCTCCTGCACAGGCCAACACTCTAGCCACACAGGCCAGGGCCAAGCCCTTATTCTTTACCCAATTCTTTAACCATAATACCGTAAAGGCTCCCAATATTATGTGCTCTCTGGCTAATAACGGGACAAAAGGAAATACATACTATTTGTATTTTCAAGAACCCCTGGATTACATGACCGGACATTTGCGTCCTATATTACCATTAGCAAAGTGCTTTCTCATACTGGTCTCATTTGCTCATCGTAAGAATCCTATTTAAGGAGGGTGTGCAGTACAGCGTGCCGATGTTAAGAATTTAGGCTCTGGGGTCAAAGGAGCATACGCTTAAATATTAGCCCTAAAGTTCATTAGCCCCACGACCTTGGGCAAATCAACCTCTCAGTTCCCCAAACTGCCAGGCGTGGCGACAACGCCCACCTCACAGGCAGGGTCTCCTGCGTGAGCCCCAGCGCACAATCAGCAACGCAACAAAGGTTGCCGTCCAGGCTCACGGACCATGAGCCACCGCGCCCAGTGGCTGGAAGAGTAGACACTGACCATAAGGCCAGGAGCGGGGCCCCGTTTTCTGACACGGAGAACTTTCTCCCTATCCCCCTTTCTCCTCGAAGGAGTTGGATATAGGTTTATTAGTTTCTGAATACACAGTTCTCCCACCCCAGGGTCAGCCGCAGGGCCAGCATCTACATGCCCACGCCCGGGGGTGGTTGGTACGAAGGGTTCAAGTAAACTGCCTCAAGCGTGTCCTAAGTGGGGCAACAGAAACCCGGCCACCAGCGTCCCCCCTTAGAATTGCGTCACAAGCCCCCTGCGAACGTTCACGGGGGCACCTGGTTCTGGTCCGAACCCAGCCTCCGCGCTCAGGAACGACCTCGACTCCAATTGGCTGTCGCCCAGGGCAACCAAGGACGCGGTGGCACGCGGGGCCTCCCGCCGGTATTTAAAGGCTGTCGTTGCCCGCGCCACCTCAGTCCGGCCAGGACGCCGGCGGAGACGCACCTGGGTTGAGAGGCGCCATCGAGGTAACGGGAACCCCCTGCCGAGGCGGGCGTGTGGGGGGCGCCTGTCCCTCAGTGTTGCGCCTCAACACTTTCCTCCCCGCCCTCTTTACACAGCGCCAGTCCCACCCAACCCGCCTGGGCGAGACCACCCGGGTGAGAAGGGCGAGAGATTCCCAGAGAAGAGCGAGTGAGCGAGTGGAGAAGAGGGTCTCTCTGGAGGGTAAGGCCGGATCCCAGCCAGGCACGTGGTGCTGTGCGGAGGGACACTGGGTGCCGAGGCTTCAGCACCTCGGATCTGGCCAAATTTGAGGACAGCGTTTAGGACGCTTCCACTTAGACCTCTCGGAGCTCCCTGAACCATGACCCAGACCCTCCATAAAAGGGAAGCCCCTCTTAACCTGGGCGGCGGCTGGGCAGCCTCTGCTCCGTTTCGCTCTTGGTCCTCCTGCCACCGAAGGCGCAGGGGCGCCCCGATTTACAAGCGGCGGCAGCACTATGGCCCCAAGGCTGAGTATGAGCCCCAGAGGAAGCAGCCGAAGCCACGGTACGGCCCGGGCCCTTGGTTCCAACCACCCCAGAGTCCTTACTGGGGCATGTACTCTAACTGGGGGTGCTGGGGAGGGCCCTGGTGCCCACCTCCAATGGGATACCGGAAGCCCCCCAGCCCTGGGCTAGTGGCCCGAATGTATGGCCTGCACCCCGTCTGCCTTTGCTGCTGCTTCTGCTGGCGTGGGCCCTGGAACCCCGGCTGGGCGAGGGCCCCTGTCCGCAAGAAGCGCTGGGGCCGCAGGGGCCGTGGCCTGCGCCGCCAGCCTAGCCGCCCGGTCCCAAGGAGCCCATCGGTGGAGGTGAGCCCCCTGCTGCAGCCGGTCGACCTGTACGGGTGGCGGGCACCTGGCCTGCAGGCGCCGCGCAACACCACTCAGTTCATCATGAACCAGATCTACGAGGACATGAGGCAGCAAGAGAAGCTGGAGCGTCAGCAGGCCCAGGCAGGCGGAAACGATGCGCCTCCCAGTGGTGATGAGGAAGACGCAGAGATGCAGGACGCTTTGTATGGCTTTGGGCAGAATCCCTCTCTGGCCTTTAGTCCTGCCCCGGAGGAAGAGGAAAACCATTCTCCGGCCCCACAGCTGGTAGAGGAAGAGCAAGAGGAGAAAGTTGATGAGGAGTGTGATGAGGAGGAGTGTGATGAGGAAGAGTGTGATGAGGAGTGTGATGGGAAGGACGAAGAGAGTGAGGAAGAGGAGAGTGAGGAGGAGGAGGAGGATGAAGAGGCAGAGGCCCAGGATGAGGAGGAGGTGGAAGAGGCTGAAGATGTGGAGGAGGTGGTGGAGGAGGAGGAAGCGGAGAAAACAGAAGAAAAGGAGGAGGGGCTCGAGGAGGAGGAGCAGAGAGGGGAAGAGAATCACTTGCCTCTGGAAATGCCCTTGTCATTCCTGATGGCCGAGGAAGAGAGCGCGAACTTTATAGACTGTTCGCATTTAAGCCCAGAACAGGTCATTCCCAAAGTGTCACAGGAAGCTCTCCTCATGCTACAGGACACTGACTATTAGAAAGGGACTTGAGGAATGGGATGGATTAGCAACATATTAAAAACGAATTAAAAAGTGAGTTCCATTAATAAAAATATGCATGTAAACCCTTTCTTTGGCCATTATAAAAATTTTAAAAATTGGTGTGTTTGTGTGTGACTATGGGTGGGGGAAGGGGAGCTTTCAAACATAATTTAATTCAAAACGATTAAAGGCCAAATATTTTATTTACTACAGTTTGAATGTTTTCATTTGCTGTTTTCCTTTTCTAGACATCCAAGTTTTCTTCTTAATTCTGGTACTACTGAAAACGTGTTGTTGTTGTTTTTTTAACATAACAGTTATATGATTATCTACTTAATGAGCTTGAAATCAATACCTATTTTAACTGTTACATCCATAAGGAGCATGTGCCATTTCTACTGAATACCCATCAGTGCTCTTAACCTGATAACTTATTTTATTAAAACTATTTATTTAAACATTTCTTGTAGATGTTTCCACCTTCAGAGTTGATTTTTGAGGGCTGTATTTTGGTAGCCCCATTTTCGGTCTCCATGGCATTGCTCATTTACAGTTCTTGTTCCACAGTGCCATGGATCTTCCTCAGAAGAACATGAAGTTGCTTCTGTGGAACTGGTTCTCTGCCATGGCCTCAGCAATCCATACCATGCATGGAGAAGATGCCCCATGGTCAGAAGTCAACTTGCACATCTAGTTAAAACCCAAGGTAACTGCAAGCAATGGAACATAGTTTAGATTTTGAAGCCTTCCTAGATATATTCCTTGTCATAAGTTCACAGGGACCATAAAAATAATGTTTGCAGAATTGATTATTTTAAAGATAATTGACATTTTAGGGTAGAATACCATTTCTTTACTTATAAAAGAATAAAACAAAGATGTGTAAGTGCAAGCTTGCATGAGCTAATTTCTAATGTCACTACAGAAAATACATTATTCAAAAACAATAGCTTTTATTTAGACTTTTTTTTTTTTTTAGGACTAATACATTTCTTCCTGAGCACTTAATTGTCAACTTAAAGTTTCCATCCATAGCATATTGCCAGAATAGATGGACTCCATAGATGAAGAATTTAAGCCTGCCATTTCAAAAATTATATCTTTTGACAAACTGTACTCCTAAGTATAGTTTTAACCAACAGTTAGTATTTATTTGGTGAAGACTGTATGGTGATTGATATCTTACCTGGATATTGAGTTTTCCTCAGCTAGCCCAGTGTATTGCAGTTATCAGGGTGATAAGCTTAAGCTGTTGAAAAATAATAGAAATAAAAATAAAGTATTAAATGAAATTATATTGCTTCTCACTTCTTATTATTTAAATATCAGAAATCTATTCAGCAGTATACTTCAATAGCCAACAGGATGAACAGAAGAAGAAAAACTAATTCAAGCATTGTAAGAATTTTTTAAAAATATATTTTATTGATTTTTTACAGAGAGGAAGGGAGAGGGATAGAGAGTTAGATACATCGATGAGAGAGAAACATCGATCAGCTGCCTCCTGCACACTCCCTACTGGGGATGTGCCCGCAACCAAGGTACATGTCCTTGACCGGAGTCGAACCTGGGACCCTTGAGTCCGCAGGCTGATGGTCTATCCACTGAGCCAAACCGGTTAGGGCGCATTGTAAGAATTTTTAAATGACACCAAACACTCCAAAATATAGCAGTGAATAACCAAACATTTATTTATACTCTAAGAAATAATTCCCTGAATGATGCAATGTCTGAGTTCCCTATAAAAGTAGTTCAAAATTGGCTACCTATATGCATCTATAATGTATATATAAAGAGGGAAATCAAGAATTCTGCTTCTGGTCAATCCCAATACTGGTCAATAAACCTTTACAAGGCATAGCTCCAAAACACTTCATCCATGATAAATATTCCCAAGGTCTTAAGTATGTTCTCATTAAAGAAACCCTTTCATTTAGGATTGAATTTTTTACAATCACATCTGGACAATTCTCAGTTTATTTTGCAAAATATTCTACTCTTAAATTAAAGATTCAACATATCGTCTCTACACACACAAAGCATTATCCACTAGTCATTGTAAAACATGTAAACCTGAGCAATGACTCAGAACTTGACCCTAGTTTATGTACTGTTAACCAAGAAATATTTACTGAACTACTAGGGGTTAAGCACTGTGAAGAGGGTAAGGGTACAATGATGAATAAGCAAACCCCCTACTCTCATGTTGCTTATAGTGCAGTAGAAAATAAAAACATTGGTAAATAAAGAGTTGGAAAAATTACTTGCTGCAACTATTCTGAAGGAAATGTACCACTATGAAAGGATATGTCATAAGAAAACCCAAGAGTGAAGCTGGGGGTGTTTACTGTGGCCAGAGGAAGCTCTGAGTCTAAAGGCCGAGAGCTAGAAGGAGCTTGAGTCTTGGAGGAAGTGAGGACAGGGGGCCAGGGTGTTCTGAAGGAGTGGCCAATGAAAAGCAAGAGAGGTAAGCAAAAGCCATATTACCTGTTCATTTCTGTACTATCAATACCTTCTGAATAGACACCAACACAAATTAAAGGACAAAACATCTGATTTATTCACAGTTTTTATTAGACAGGTGATATGATGCTCGCTACTAATCCTGGACACTGATAGGAAATAATTAAATCATATCGGGGTGGGGGCTTTGGTCATCCAGTTCACCTATGACCCTTTTCAGAAACCTCCCTTACACGATCATGTAATGAGGGCGCCCTAGGGATTACCGCTCAGCATGACCGGAGCACCATAGTTGCAAACTCCCTCAGAGAACCTCTGCACAGCTGTTCAGTACAACTTGATGATTCAATAGTAACAGTGTTAATATGGCTTAGAATACACCTAGTCATTCGTGTTAGAGGTAAGTGTACACTTGAAGAAAACACATTAAAAAAATAAGCTCATTGTTAAAGTAATATCAAGTTTGTTGAGTGAACACAATGGTAATGAAGTGCCACTTAGTCATTTCTTTCAAGAATGGAGGTATTTTCTTTGTCATTTGTCAGAAAAATAACACAAATGATCAATTTATTTATAAGGTCTGGGCTTGAAGAATCTTTGAAATCTATTCTTAGATGTTTTTACAGGTAGAGATTCTTATATTTTCCTTTTCTATGACTGCCAACAGCATTTGTTGATTTATCTTCATTACTTAGTCTTCACAGTACTAGTAAATTGAAGAGATTTTTTCCTGTGAAAACTTAGCATTTTAAGGATGGCAAATATACTTAACATTTAGAGATAAACTCTGAATTCTGAATATATATGCATATAAAGACAGTAATCCCACCATAGTTTCATTAAAATATGGTGGAATAACCTGTCAGCTACACCAAACCTATAGCACCTTCAAAGAAAATGATACTCATATCACCCCATATGAGTAAGGGAGAAGGATAAGAAAAAAGGATTCTTGCCCTGGCCAGTGTGGCTCAGTAGGTTGGGCACCATTCCTTGCACAAAAAGGTTGCTGATTTGAATCTTGGGTAGGACCCATGCCCAGCTTGCAGGCTCAACCCCAGATAACATGCCTGTATGATGCAGCACATTGATGTTTCTCAATCTCTCCGCCTGCCTTCCTTTCTCTCTAAATATCAATAATATAGAAATTATTTTTTTAAGAAAATGGCTTATTTATCTTTTAGCAGCATAATAAAATATGTGCAGCTATGTTGTTTATATTTAGGCAGGTTCAAATTAATACAGTCACAATTGAAAATTACTCTTAATGCTTCTGAATCACTTTGGCCTTGCTATCTGTGGATTTAGAGCAAAATCAGAAAGTGGCTCTAAATTGTTTTAGTACTAGCCTTGCTCTGCACCGATTTACTTTTAGCCCCTCAGTGGAACATAGCCTCACATCAAGGCCAGCTGATGAAAGAGAAGAGTTTGGGCATCTGTGTGTTGGCACTGCTGCCTCAGAGACCTATAGCGGTAGCTTCATGTGTCTGTTTCCTCCATCCCTCTCAGGCCTATTGTGAAGACCAAATAACCAAATAGTTAAGAAGAATTGCATTACAGACTTAACTCACTATTAATCGTTATACACTAAACTACATTTTATAATCAAAATTATCAACTGAATATATCAACATGAGATCAGCCGAGATTCATTAACAAGGCTCAGGAAATCTCATTTCATTGCAATTTTTTTGTACTGAGATAACCAATTATTTAGCTTTTACCACTGAACTAAGAATGAATCTACTCGTTCTTGAAATTTAGTTTTAGCTTCTGTATATAAATAGTGTACAAATGCAATGGTCTGGTGCCTTGATATTGGCACCAGCAAGATTAGCACCACCTGAGAGTGTGTTAGAAATGCAGATGCCTGAGCTCCAACGAAGATCTACTGAGTTAGAATCTACCTTGTAGCAAGGCCTCTAAGCGGAATAGATGCACATTAAAGACCCAGATGCTCTGTGGTTCAAGCATTGCAGAGCCCTCTTAAGAATTTCATGTCTAAGATTGTGGTTTGTAGGTTCAAAAGTTCCATTATTTATTACTTTAATGTCCTCAGGAATGTTACTGACATTGACCTTCTCATTTTCGTTATCTGTAGTATCTACCTCTTGGGATTAAATGAGAATATGAAGAGTAAATGAGCCAATACTTAGCCAGTACTCAGAACAGTGATATTCAATATTTACCAGTTGTATTAAGAGTCTTATGCACAGATGAGACCATTTACATATAATGTAATATCTAAAAGTCACTTGTTAATGATTAGAATAACCAAAAATGTAAAATCTCACAAGATAAAAAAACGATTAATTAACTTTGCCTTGTTTCTCCTTGGATAACTACAATCAGAAAATCTACTTTGAGTGGCACATACCATTGTACAGCCTATGAGAACCAATTAAATCTCTGAGCTTGATTCATCCTCAAAATACACTTCCTGGCCTTTATGTCCTCCTCCCACAGCTAGTAAACGATGTTTCCTTTATTCCTGACATAATATCTTAATGTCTCGTGCTAAGAATTACCCATTCTTCAGGATCATTCTTCCCCATATAAGCAATGGATATTAGAATGCATTTTTTCAAACTCAAAATACATGGATCATAATGCTAAAACTTGACAAAGTCTTATGCTGTACCTAAAGATATTGAAAATTCCAATAAATATTAAATATCTGCTATAGACACTTGTTATTCAGAACATAGACATAAGATTCCAAAAAATATTTGAGCAATGCAAGATTTTTAGCATTATCACATTTAAACATAACCACACTGTGAACTAATGCTTTACTTTCCTTCTACAGATGAAGAAACTGAAATTCAAAGAAGTAAATTGGGAACTCTAGTACTCTATTTTGAGTTCAATGTTATGGGTACACATGTTATTGGAACATATCTCTTTGTTGCCTTATTTAAAACACTCTGTTCAGGAACAAAATTTTTTTCATAAGCTTTTCCTGAGTCCCACGGAGGGTTGGAAAGAGGATATCGATAGTATCTGCAATGTGGGGTTGATAATAGGGACACCTAAGCAAACGGTACTGGTATTTCTGCCTCCATTATAATATCTAGTAGTAGTTTTGGAATGGATATAAATCATATGATGACAATCTGACAACTTGTTGTTTAATATTTTTTGTATATGTGGGCCAATATATATGTATTAGGTGGGGAGAAAATTGAAGTACAATAAATTAGTCTATGATGTAGTTGTGTTGCTTCTTATCTATAATTAAAG